ACGGTTCTCTTAAGCCTTCCTTGCATGGCTTATGAATTCACTGGTGACCATCTAATTAATTCACTGGTGTCCGTAAATTCACTGGTATCCATCTATTTATGATTTCTCCTACTTAAACATTACTTAAATGTAGCAACGAATTCGGGACAAAAAATCTATATCTAGCCACTTTTTGGGACAGAGGGAGCATAAAATTAAAAAAAAAATTTATTTGTAAAATTTAATTTCTATTTGATAGAATTCGTTTAAATGTTGCATTTTTTAAAATTTTTAAATTAAAAATTTGCATACATTACGATTTAAATTCCCCCCCCCCGATAATTAATAAATAAAATATAATTTTAAAAAAAAATACTTTTTTTGCTAGGAATTATCTTTGAATAAAAAAGGTAAGAATTTCTGAGATACGACGAAATATGCAAAAAGGGAAGTTTACATTCAGTGTGTTAGATTGCTCTCTTAGCTAAACAATTGGGGGCATCTCCCCATATTATGAAATTCCGTAACTCGAACTTTATGTTCGAACTACTTAATACATTTCTGGCCAACTTTTTGAAGTTTTAGGATTGGCATTTACTTTGCGAAACGCTACTCTAGATAATAATAATGTTTTCTTTCTTGATCTGTACAGTAATATTTTAATTCTTGAAAGCATTCGAATATAGATTCTCCAGATGTGTCCTTCAGAAATATGAGTTGAGAATTAAAGAACTATTATACGAAAACAGGTCGACATTTATAGAATCGCTTCCTTTTCTCACAATAAAGTTATTTTTTACTGACCATATTTGTAGCAAAAATTGTTTACCAATATAGGCTTGCGAGTCATGCAAAACTCGAAAGCTTATTCAATTCATACTATTAGTTCACATTCTCCCTATTATCTTGTTCAAATTCGCAATCGTTAATAAAATACTTTTTATTCATCAATTCAAGTACAAATACATTTTTTTTAAAAGGGTTGTTATTTATATTTCTGGCCTAATAATGAAAAAACAATTATGTAGGATCGAAATTGGTTTTATTGTTTTTCAAAATATTCTCCATGATCATCAATACACTTTTGCATGCGTTTGAACCAATTTTCAAAGCACTTTCTCCAGTCCGATTGAGGTAACTCCAAAACATGCGTTTTGAATGCATCAACCGCTTCTTCGGGGGTCGAAAATCGTTGTCCACGTAATTTATTTTTGATGTGTGGGAATAAGAAGAAGTCATTGGGTGCCAAATCAGGGCTGTACGGCGGATGACCCATCAGTTCGATCTTTCGCTCCGTCAGAAATGCCTTTGTTTGAGTCGATGTGTGAGAGCTCGCATTGTCATGATGAAGAATGATTCGCCTGTTCTTCTGCTTTTTTCGAATTTCTCCGATGACTTCTGGCAAACAAATGGTCGTGTACCATTCAGAATTGACCGTCCTGCGTTGCTCTAACGCCACTGTTGCCACATGACCGTTAATGCCGAAGAAACAGGCAATCATTTGTTTCGATGTGCTTCTTCCTCGAACAACTTTTGTTGGTTTTGCCTCGTCTTGGAAGACCCATACAGTTGATTGCTGTTTTGTTTCCGGCTCATATGCATAGATCCATGATTCGTCACCTGTGTAGATGTTATACACAGCCTTTGATGTACCTTGAACGTATTTTTCCAACATTTCCTTGCACCAATCGACACGAGCCTTTTTTTGAGCGTTTGTCAGATTATGCGGGATCCAACGCGAACAAATTTTTTTTTTACGCTCAAATAATCATGTAATATTTTATTGACGCTAGTCATACGCCTCTATCTCACGGTATGTCACATGACGATCTTGCTTTATCAGTTCACGCACAGCATCGATCTTTTCTGACACAACGGATTTTGGACGACCTGCACGGGATTCGTCCTGCATCGAACATGATTAAATTCGTTATACCAATTTTTTACAGTGCTGTAGGATGGCGCTTTATCGCTGAATAAAGAATTAAGTTCATCGAAGCACTCTTGTCTTGACAGTCCACGTCGAAAGTTATGAAAAATAATGGCACGAAAATGTTCACGATTCAATTCCATTTTTTGAAAGAGAAGAACTTTTCAATTTACTGTCAAAAACACAAATGAAGCTATAATGGTAAATCGTCTGCTGAATTTATGTTTAAAAATTTCAAACTTTGGATTAAAATCATCTGCGGTCGCCTAGCAACACTTACTGTTGCCAAGGCCAGAAATATAAATAGCAACCCTCTTACTAGATGAAACTTGATGTAAATACAGTTTTGTTCAAATATTAATTCATTCATTAAATGGGGATGAGTGATAAAAGAAATGGAATATTCTGATGGGTTAAGCGTTAGTCATTTTTTTACATATTTTAAAAATAATATCAGTGATAATTTCTAACTTATAGCTCTATTTGAACAAAAAAATAGATTATTGCGCATATTTAATTATTTTATATTCTCTGTGTCAGATAAATTCAATAAAGAACATTACATTGTGGCACGTGTGGTCCAGGTCACCAAATGTATACTTTTACAGTTGTCTGGTTCCACATACCTTTTTTTTCCCCTTTCAATTCCTACTATTAGTTCACACTCTTCCTTTCTATATCTTGTTCAAATTTTTCAATCGCTAATACAGTAGGGAACCGATTATAAGGAACGGTCGGGACCATCGCTATTCCGGATAACTGATTTTTCCGGTTTTCTGAATCGCTACAAAAAGCCGTTTTTTTTATTGTTAAACCCAACTTAAAAAAAAGTATTTGAAAATAATCTTAAAAAGAAGAAAAAAAGATGCAGTGATACACTAATGATTATTTCCAAAATGATGGTAAGGTAAAAATCTTTCAAAAAAGAAAGAAAAATCCTAAAATCTTATGAGGAAAAAATTTTTTTTTTTAAAAAAATGGCGAGAAAATTTATCGAATTTCGTTCCGGTTTTTTGGTTTTCCGGTTTTCTGATTTCCGGATAACGGGTCCTGTACTATACTGTAAAATACTTTTTATTNAAATTTTTTTTTAAAAAAATGGCGAGAAAATTTATCGAATTTCGTTCCGGTTTTTTGGTTTTCCGGTTTTCTGATTTCCGGATAACGGGTCCTGTACTGTAAAATACTTTTTATTCATCCATTCAAATAAATTTTTTTAAACTTAATAGTGGATAACACTTGATGTTAATACACGTTTTTCAAATATTAATTCATTAATTAAATTTACTTTTATGGGGGAGAAATTTCTTTAATTATTTAATAAAAGGTAACTAAAATGAAAATTTTCTTTGTTGACCTTAGTAGGAATTGACTTTAAATATATATATATTTTTCTATATTACTTGTTTAAATACACATCTTAAAGTAATGACTATCTATGATTGCAAAATGTCTCGCTTTAACATGATAGAAAAACAAGTTTAAAATAAATTCTAATAGATGAAATTGACGTTCCCAATGAGAAGAAGCGATAGTGACTCAAATGAGCTTAAATTATCTAAAAGATTCTCGATAAATACATGAAAAAATATTTTTCCTAACCAAAATCAGTCAGTTTTGGACATTCATGATATTAACAAAGTTAATGTAACACACACACAAAAAAATTTTTACAACGCAATTTGTGATTTACCAAAAAATTACAAATACTCATGCATCATAATATAAATAAGAATTAACTTACATTTCTTTACAATATGAAAAAATATCTATACGAGAACAATTAACTCGCAACTGTGCGTGCTAAACCAAGAAATGCTAAGTGCAATAAAATTATATGTATAATTTCAATATGTTCTTCCTTTTACTCCACAGAATTTCAAAACCCATCTTACCATAAATACAATTATATTGTTGAAACTCCGGGAGCAAAATTCTTCCTTAGGTAGCAAAAAATCTTCATGTTGACATCATTTGTATTTAAAAATACTCAGACAAAAATAGCAGTTAAAACACAAATTTGAATGGCATAAACATTATTTTGGTGCTAGAGAAGGGAGAAAAAATAGAGGATTACTGGTATTGTCTGCAAGAGGCAGACTGATAAAGCCAAGGCCTGCACTGGGCTGTAGAAGAAGAAGAATGTATACATTAAATGCATTTTGCCCCCAATATTTTTAAATAAAGTTATTTACAGTCAGTATGTTTAAATAAATTTTGTATTATTTTTATTGTTGAATTAACTTTATATTGCCATAGATTATTGTTAATATGAGCCTTAATATAATATATGTAATTTAAGTCAAGCAAAAAAAAACTTCGCTGTTGCTAAAGGAAAAAGATCTATTGATATGAATAACTGACTCATTAGGTTTATGCCGTCATATGCGTTTTTTTTAAAAAGCATACATGTTGTAAAGTTTTTCTATGGCATATCATTTGAAATTTTTTTATTTTAACAATTTATTATTGACTAAAATTTTTTTTAAAGAGGAATTAGTTTTAAAGATTTTAATAATTGATTTAAATTCTTAAGATTTTATGCTAGAACACATTTAAAATAGGTTTAACTTAGAAGCAAATGAAACAAGCATGGTAGGCACAGAAAACCATGTAGGATAGCATAGCAATTTTTGGGGGTTCTGGAGCGCCAAGGAACAGGGTGTGGAGCCTGCTACCATAAGTTTAATTTTCATAACCAAAATATTTCTTATAGTAATAAGACTGGGTTCGAATCCCAGTGATGGCTGGTCAATACGAATTCCGTATTCAGTAACAACTTTGCTGACATAAAAAATATCCCCAGTGGTAGACGGATCATGAGTTAGAGTCCCTTACCTGTTAGGCTAACCGTGGGAGGTCTTCCTCTTCATGTTATGCAAATGCGGGTTAGATCCATCAAAAAGTCCTCCACAAAGGCAAATTTCACCCAATACTAGCTCCAGGAGTTCCCTTGTCTTCTGGATTGGGTTTAAAATTACAAGGCAAAGAGGTTGAATATTAGTAGTCGTAAACCCAAAAATTAGGTCGGCTGTTCAGCGATAGTCATAAAATATAGATGGTGACAGTATAGTTAAAATATCAGGAAAAATACATTAAAAACTTTTATTAAATAAAAATAGTAACAAATACATAAACATTTTATTACACTGTACACTAAAATGTCACCCGTATACAATAACTTGCTTTGGTAGTATGGAAATTTTACAAGAGCCTCTTGGATATTTTTCATTATCTATATAACTGAATCTGTCCTGGAAAAAAAAACTTATTTGAATTATGCAATTAACAATTAAAATATCACAAATTAAATTAAATTACTATGCACAATGGTTCTTAAGGTGGTAAAATAGTCATACAATCCTTAGTGGTAAACGCTGAAGATGGAATTGAAAAACAACAGAAGATGTTCCATATCTAAGTCATTAAATATTATAAGAAAATACAGTCAAACTATGATATCTAATACTTAAGAAGCCTGAATTAAAATTTTGAGTAATTAAATCAAGTTCTTATTAAAAAAAATATTCTATACGCAAAAATCTTAAAATAAAAAAGAAATTTGCAAAAGGACAAAACTTATAGTTGATGATCAATAATGTGCATTTCTCAGTGTTAATTAGCACTAAAAAGACTTTACATTGAGGTAAACCTAGAAAGGGCCAGTGTAGTCAAGATTGTTTTGAGTGAAGTCATACTAGATGTCTAAAATGTTGTATTATGATCATAATTTATCGATCAAGATAGAATTCTTTGAGTCAGAAATGGTGATTTTTTAGATAGCAGTAGAGTAATAGTAATCCATTAAATATAAAACAAGTACAGTTGAACCTGTTTATCTCGAATGTCTTTATTTCGAAAACCTCCATATCTCAAAATTTCCATTCATTTACTGTCTAAAATCAATGTATTTCTCCTGTTTATGCCAAAATCTTTTTTTCCTTTTCTCGAATTTTTAATAATAGAGGGCAAATGTCAAAACTTTCTTTATCAGTAGAACTCGCAGACAGATAAATTTCGTGAACCCGAATGAAGTAGGGATGAACAGGTTGGGGGTGTTTCTTTGAATTTCAATTACTATCGCTGCACTTCCTTAACTAGAAAGGAAAACAATAATTCTGGCAGTAAGTGAGAGGTTAACGACTAGTAACTACCAGGGGTTAGCTTTTCAACATAGATTAGAAAGCTAAGAATAGAAATTCATTTTCACCTCAAAATTGCAACCAATGGATCAAAGTATAATTAGGAGTTTTAAAGTGAACCATAGAGAACAGTTGGTAAGCAAACTTGAAGCCATTGATGAAAAAAGTTCTCTTCCAACAATGAAGATGGTAGATGCTATCAGAACGACTGTTTTGTCTGGAGAAATGTGTCTCTTAAAAACTATCCAAAACGGGTTTAAAAAACTGCTTTTCAGAATAGCTGTGAAGATGATGAACAAGAGGTTGAAAGCATCAGTAAAAAAGAAGAAACTGTCGAAAATGCAGAGCCAGATTTGCCAGAATGGACAACTGCCTGGCAACATACGGAACATTGACAGATGCGGAAATCAGATTATGTCAAAGGAATATCAGTAGAAGAGGAAGAAGCTGAAGAACATATTAATGAATCAAAAGTTAATGCAAAAGAGGTTGAAAAAGCTCTAGATTTCTTAAAAACTATTCTTGAATCCCAAGAAAATGTTGGCTATGAGGGATTTGTGCTCTTTCTAACTTTAAAAGAATAATCAAAACAACTAAGGTTATCCGTCAAAAAGTGTCGAAATGTTTTTTTCACTGTTAAATGTATGTTAAAATGTTATGTAAATTGATGTATGTGGTATAGTTAATTTAAACAAATACCTATATTTTTTTTCTACCAACAACAATTAAAGCACTTTTCATTGAATTGTTTAATAAAATTTTATTAAAGTACCCGTATAACTCGAAACCTCTTTATCTCAAATTTTTCGCCTACCCGTGAGATTCGAGATAAACAGGTTTGACTGCATATATATATATTTAATTTTTTCGAAACATTATTAGTGACAGTTTAAGCTCTTAACTTAAGTATTCAAGTGAAAAGAAGTATATAAAAAGATTACTTCTTCTTTTTCAGGGGAATCTATAATAAGTTCAGAGGCTTTGATAATTTGAGACACATCTTTTGGGTCTTCAAGCTTAGATTTTCGATTTGACAACCTATAAGATGAGATTTATAAAATATTGCGATTAGTATTGTAGCTGCATATGAAAAACATTGAAATGAAATTGAGAAATCTATGCAGAAAAATGCAATAATAACAGTAAAACAAATATTTCTGAAACATTTCAAACAATATCATAAGTCTATACTAAAAGGGTATGTTGATTTCTTTGCACTTTTACCGTGATACAAAATGTTGCATTTAAATTTTTTTTTTTTTAAAAATTGAGAATAGCAAAATTCTTACGTTAGCACACTCTTGGTCATCTAAATAAGATAGTAAATAAGATCATCTACAATAATAATAGAATTTTCTAACACACTTATGAACATACCCTTTGATAACTCGATAAAATGGTATAAAATGCAGCTAAAATTGAAATTTATCAAAAATTCATGATTCAAGATAAAAAGAATTCTCGTTTTATTATCTAAAAAAGTACATTCTATATAACCTCATTTTATAATACTATTTTTTTTGAAATTGTGTTTAAAAAAACAAAACAAAAATGCTGCTAAAAAGTGAAATTATTAGAAATATTTGATTAAGGATAAATGAATTCTCCCTTCATTATCTAAAAAAATACACTCTAAATAACCTTAATTTATTAATATAATTTTCTTAATTTTTCAACAAAAAAAAAAAGGCAGTTAAAAAGCATTGAAAATTTATGGTTGAGGTTTGCTGAATTTTCCCTTTAGCTTTTGGGTTATTATCTGAAAAATAATATCATTTATAAAAATAGCAAAAACAGAATTTTTTAAAACTTCAGAATAAAAAATATTGGAAATTTATGATTAAGGTGAGTACAGAACATCAAAAATATTATTTAAAGGGCCATTTTCTATAACATAACAAGAGACAATTTTTAGAATGCATAACTCTAATGAAGCCATATTGTGCCAATTAAATTTGCCAAATAAAAAACAATAGATCAAGAAAACAAAAAATAATTTAATTACCTATAAAACAAAATAATAAGAATTTAAGGAATGCTGCATATTAAAAAAATAAATAACAGGGCTTTGCCTAGGTTTATAACAGGGGTCTGCGAATTTAGAGGTACCTATTTTGTGAAAATTAAAAATTATATTTAAAAATCAACACAAAAATATGGTAAAGTAAGAAAATATTTTCAAAAATTGTCACTTCAAATAAAAATCATTTATGACTAGTACATTTTTATACTTTTCCCCATATATTCAAAAATAATTTTGCTATGGTAAAATTTTGGGCTTAAAATTGTATCTAAATTTAAAAACCCATAAAACTCATTGGCCATTGTTAAATTTCAACTTGAATTAAAAAAACAAACATGCTTTTAACAGTACTTGCATTAAAAGTTATTTTCATTATGGCGACATTTCCCACGGGATCATATAGAAAAAAGTTTCACAGAGAAAAAAATTTTCACAAAAAAATAAAGGTCTGTTAGAATAAATCTAGAACAATGTTCAAATGTTTAGAATAATGTTTGAATTTCAACTTCCTGTAAAGTTTACAGAGGGAGTGGCTCGTTGCTTAATTTTATTAAAAAAAAAAAAAAAACTTTGCGAAAAAAAGCTCGCTATAATATTGTGTAAGCGACAGGTTAAGCTTACCACACTACACTATCTGACCAAGCATGCTATCTATTCGTATATGCGGAATTAAACCGGGAGTTATAGTTTCTTACGGGGATACAAAAACAAAATTTCAAGAGGCGGGGAAGAGAATCTTAGATCTTGCTTTTTTAAAAGCATTTTGGGAAACTACCCTTTTTCCTTAAGTTGAATTTGTGAAGGTGCTGCTAAACAGTAATAAATTTGCCCTGGACAGACCCCTGAATAAGTAAACAAAAGACATAACAACATTCAAAAACTTGATAAGAAGCATTTTAGGAACCTCTTGCTTTCAGAAAGCAATGGATAACACTTCATTCTGTGACATAGCAAATGTTAGCCGAACTTATAGCATAAATCATGGTTGGGGTTTTGGACAGGACATGTTGGTTTTACTGTCCTAAACTGGATAAAACTGTCTTAAACTGGATAAAACTGTCTTAAAGTGTCCAAAATCTTGAACTTTGTTAAAAGGTAAAAATTCTATAGGTGTAATCATTGTACACATAATAATTACACGTATCAATAAATATTTGATATTTTCTATACAATTTGCTTTAACTTATTAAAGAAAAATAATATAATATAATAGGAAAAGGTTTACAATTTTTGAAGCTCCACAGTTCATTGAACAACAAAAGTGAATACCTAATCCTTTAAATATAAATATGCTTTTAATACTGATAGATAATGTTTTTGCATAAGGATAAATAATGCAATATTAAAAAAAAAAAATAATTTTTTAAAAAAAATACATAATTTGTTTAAAAATTAATCTTTTATTTTTCACAATATTTAAAAAAAAATGCTATAACTTATGCATCACAGGATCATAAAAAAGACACGTATTTAATTTTTTTTTCCTTTTAAATATACATATATTAGTTTAAATTGGAAATATAAAATAACTGAAAAATGTATTAACAGTTTCGAAGGGCATAACATCAGTTTCAGTTACTGACTCTGGTGATGTATCACCTCTATGCTAAAAGAATCGAAGATGAATGAAATAAAAGTATTCTTGAACAATACACTATAGATAAATAAACCTGTTTATGACTAACCCAACACTTAGTCCCTAATAGCTTAACTTGTGTGGCAAGGTGAAACTTCAGCTATGTACTATTGAATGAGAGGACCAATTGAACTTGATTGCTGATTAATAATCCTTTGTTTAATGTTTAGGTTGAAGAGTCAAACAATATTAATAAAATATTATACTTTTAAAAACAAATATTCTCTAGTAGATTTAATTATCAATGTGTTATTAGTTCTATGTTCATTTTACCTTTTAAATATTGTTCAGATAAAATTGTAACATAATTTGAGCAAAAGGGTTTTGGACACTTTAAGACAATTTTTGACAAAGGGGTTTTGGACAGGACGGTTTAAACCGTGGATTAATCCACTCTGTCCTAAGCCTTGCCAACCCTGGCATAAATATTTCTAAATACATTTAACAAACACTGGTAATAAAGCATGTCTCACACAAATGACAGAGTAGTTAGGTTACATAACGCTCAACTTGGCTTTAAAGCAACTAAGGAAAAGACATAAATTGTTACCCAGCAGTTATGAAATCCATCATGGATAAATTATCAGGATATATCTTAATCCACATAATTCCTGAAGAATCCTAGATAAAAAAAATACAGAAATGAATATTGATTTCTCCTAAAAACAATAGAATAACAGCATGAAAGAAATAGATTTCGTTTCATAGAATAGCTTTAAAGCTGTTTTTCAATCTTAAACATTATAAATACAGTCAAACCATACATATAGTGAACCTTGAAGGGACTCAAATTTCGATTCACAATATCTGTTCGGCAAACAATTTTAACTATTGGTTCCTAACTCCCCTCTTTTATTACACATTATTTAAATAAATGACCAACAAAATGAAATAAAAATAAATGACTGAAAAATAATACATAGAAACAAAAATGTGTCAACTTTCATTTTTTATTACTTTTCGTCTTTCGTACAAAAAAGTAGTAATCTTTAGCTAATGAGCAATCCTCAACATCAGATATGGAAACATTTCCCAACTCTCTGATGATTTTTCCTGAATTTATGTTATTCCGCTTTTCTTAAACCCAGTCATTTGAGCCCATAAAAGTAGTCCCAACAAATCACTTAGTAAATTCATTGGCTTTGACTCAAAGCATTTGTCCAGATACTGAGAGATTGCGGCTTCTTTGAATGCTGAACCCATTCAATAATGCTATTCAATCATGAAGCAAACCAGGAAAAATGCTTATTGCTATGTTTCATGCTATCGATGGTTTAAAAAATCGGTATATGTATTTATTTTGAAGTGGAAGTTTAAAAATTATTACGAATATGTCTTATAAATGAAGAAAATAAATCAGTCAAAGACAGAAAAAAGTTGATAATAACGAACTTCCTCTTTTTTTTTGGTAGCAAGGTATTAGTATACTTGGGTATTAGTATACGAACATTTTGTTCACTATAACAGTTATAATATAGTTTGACTGTATATGTAAATTTGAGCTTTGACAAGCTTTTACGTAATTTTTTTAAAGCCACTTAACAAAGAAATGAAAGAAAATATAGGTTCATTTTAAAAGAAATAAATTCATGTAAAGTTTTCCTACACTTTTTTACCACTTTCAAATTAACAAATATAAAAAAAATAGTTTGGTTATGTTATTAAGTATATAGAAGCCATATTGTGCCAATTAAATTTGCCAAATAAAAAACAATANTTTCTAACAAAGAAGTCTGGGTATATACACAAAAATACTTTGTATATAGACATATATTTACAAATATATATACATATACTAGAAATAAGTCAAGATTTTTGACCTTTATCTATGATCTTAGATCTTCTTAAGAATGCAATAAATAACAATATATAATCAAATATATTTACATCTTTTTTTGTGCCAGTTGTTGCAGTTGAAGAAGAGATATTAAGATAGTCAGGTTTAAGAATCAAGTGATCACCGCATTCTTCGTTTGTAATTTTACTCCAATCTTTCTCAGGATTTGAAACTAAGAAATAATAAGCATATTTTAATATCCATATTTTCATGAAAATATTTGTGCAACTAAAAATTAGAATTAATCCTGGATATGCATAAGTGAAGTTGATCTAAAGCAATTTATCTATTATTGACTAGTATTGAAATCAAGAATTTTAAAGCTCTTTTTGTTCTTAACAGTTAAACGGTTTAACATAAAATAATATCCTCTTAGCTTCTAGTATGTTGTTTGCATACATTGTTTTTTTGCCTGTGTTTTTTCTGTTCTTTGTGAAAAGTATAGCCTTATCTTAATAGATCCCAGACATTTATAAAAATGTGGATGCAACAATTTATTGTCACATCAGCCAACTATGGAGAAATAAAATAACGGAGATTTTACTCGCGACATTTTTTCAGGCTTCGAGTAAAGTTTTGATACGTCACGCATAATCATGTAAGTCAAAAAGAGAAATTTAAATTAGAAATATAAGAACTTACATTTAGTAAAGTAAAAAATATGTATATAAAACTTAATCTAAAGGAGATTTTCTTAAACCATTATTTGGAATTACTTAAACTATTTTATTTCATAAATGCCGCTGAACAGCTGACCTGATTTTGGGTTTACGACTACTAATGTTCAACTCTGCAGCCTTGTAATTTGAAACCCGATCCAGATGACAAGGAAAATCCTGGTACAAGTATTGGGAGAAATTTGCCTTTGTGGAGGACGTTTTGATGGAACTAACCCACATTTGAGTTACAGGGAGAGGAAAATCAAGAAAACCTCCCACTGTAAAACTGACTCCAAGGGTACTCTAACCCAAGATCCGTCTACCACAGAGTATATTTTGCGTCAGGGCAGTGGTTGGTGCAAGTTGAATTCGGTCATCGTTAAAAAACAGGAGACTTGGCAGGTATGCATTGTGGGCCAGGGGGAGATGAAGGCTCCACAATTTCGTAACCAATGCATAGCAATTGAAAGTTCAGTATCTTAACCACGAAAGATTAATTTAACTTCATGCAAATATTTATACATAACGTAAGCGTATTTACTATTTTCATTCAATTTCAGAATAAAAAGAGTAATAGATAAAAAGTTTTGGTGTTCTCATCAATCAACTGGATGCTTTTTTTGTTCGAATAGCTATCTTCTTTTTCTTACCACTGTTGATCACTTATACAACATAAATAAAGAATTGAAGATACATTCTATATACCACATAAAATATTAACATAAATGAGCAACCTTTGTTACTATTTGATCGAGGAATAAATGCACCCCACCATCTAGTACTTCCTGGCTCTTGAATGCTCTTTTTTTGTTTGCCAAGTTTACACCTAGAGCAGCCTTCACAGGGTGCAACATACTCTAGACTGTGGTTTTCTATAACAGATTTGCTCTATAAATAAAGAATTAGAAATTAATATGAAGAAATAGAATCCCTAATAACAGAAAAATATTCTGTCTAGAAAATTTCCTATTGCTTAAATTACACTAAATAAATAACTTCCTCATTCCTCAGTTAGCCCATTAAACAAATTTTATTAAAATAGGATATTTATTTATTAAGAACAGTTACATTTTAAAGTAAATTAACAGAAAACTTCAGAAGTTGCCGACCTCAATTAGGAAATATTGCAAGCGAAATTTTACAATTGTTACATATAATTTTTTACCTTTAGATTATTTAATATATTAGCTATTTTCAATTAAGTTTAGAGCATCGACAATCAGCCATTTGATCTTCAAGCAGTTTTAAATGAGCATTTAAGAAAATGGACACAACACCAAATGAGTTTTTTTTTTAAATGGACACTATTAAAAATGTGTGCTTAAAAAAATGGACATCATAATATCCATGGCTCAGATTTTTTTTTGTTGAAAACAGCAAAAACATTAGACAGTTTAAGAAGTTAACCATACAGCTTTCAGATGACATAAAAATGCTTTGAAGATATAAAGTAGCAATACCAGAAAAAGTGCACACTATATTACAATATAATTATTATAATTACTTTTATCTACAATAACATAGTACACAAGAATATGTATATACATATAAGTTCAAAATGTAGAGAAAACATGGAAAAAATTACAGAACAATGAAAAAAGAGAAAAAGAAAAATAATAATAATAAAAACAATAAAACTCCGGAAAATAAAATATACAATCTTTTCATCAGCTCACATGATTATATTCACAAAAAGGAGTGCTTTCTAATATTGTATCAATATAGCCAAAGCAAAATATATAATACAATAATGTAAGTAGCACGAAAAAAAATTTACAACAAATAAAATAGAAAACATTAAGTAAGAACATCACATAAAAACAGAGAATAAAATGTAAAGAAAAAACAGAATAAAACATAAAACGAAATCTATTCAGTGAGTAGCGAATTCAAATGAACTTACATGAATGAGAAAATTTTCAAGAATGATTTAAAATATTTTCGTAACAAGATTGCCAGATTACAAAATATGAAAACAGAAGTGCAAATTGAGGTAAAAGAGTAAATAGAGGGGTTTATATATATATACAGTACAGAACCCGTTATCCNGTAGTGATTCAGAAAACCGGAAAAATCAGTTATCCGGAATAGCGATGGTCCCGATCGTTCCGGATAATCGGTTCCCTACTGTATATATATAACATCTAAAATTATAACTTAAAACTAAATCAATTTTAAAACTAAACCTAAAAAGAAATATATTTTAATTTTAGACAAGCCCTTCTAACAGATGAGAACATTAAATAATCTCTTTCACATAATAAACTAAGTTCTTCGTGTATACATCAACTTTAATTAAATAGAAATGTAATTTTTATTTATAAAATGAATCCACGCTGCGTAGTAAAATGCCTTTGTGAAACCAAAAATTATTCAAATTAATAAATATTTTGAGATTTTAATTCATCTTCATCCGGTCTTATGATTACATCTTACGGCGTCATTTCTAACAAAGAAGTCTGGGCATTGTAGATCACATGATATGAAAAAAGTTCGCACTTGTCCTTAAAAATGATACAGTAAACTTGTCTCCTGGAGTTTCTGCTCCATGAATATTTGTATATAGATTTTCTTTATTCTTTTCTTCAATAAATGCTTGGTAAAAATTATTTTTACAAAGATAAGACTGCAAAATAACAATCTGAGGGACATGAATTGAAATATCTCTGTTTTATAGTATAAAAATGGATAAAAGCCCTACATATATGTATACATTTTAATTTCCAATGGTAGGGAAAACAATCAAATACAACAAACAAGAACAATGAACACCAGAAGGAATCACAAGAAGTAAAAGAAAGATCGAAGTTATTTCCCCAGAAACTCACTCTTGCACGCCAATATTTGGCAAACTCGGAGTCAAGTCTGTAGAGTGACTTACAGCCATGGAGATGTTTTCGGTTCACAAGTTCTTTAGAATTGCATAGTCGACAATCAGGAAGGTTCATACATATATTTAAGTGGTACAAGTGTTCTTGCAGGGAGTCGTGAGCTGTTAGAAGACGAAAGTGGGCTGCAACATCTCGGTGAGGCTTGTCTGGTATTGCCTCTAAATCGGCCTCACTCCAGTTCTTATTCTTAATACTATCTCAAAGCCAAAAAGAGGTATTCATTTTGCTTATGTATTTTAAATATAGTTTTATGGATTACAAGAAAATACTTCTTTGACAAAAAAATTACAAAGGTAAAAAAAATGTTTTGTATGTTAAACATTTGAGCAATCATAAACTACATTTTTTTTACTGGTCGCACACATGGAAATAAAAATTATTTTCTTACTTTCCTCATTCTTATAATTGTCTTACTTACAATTAATTTTAGAATTTAATATCAATAAATGTTCATGAAAATATAAATATTTTTTGTTATACAAAAATATGACATTTTCTCATTGCATAAGATGTCCTCAGACAGTCTTGTAAAAATGTGAATACTCTAGGTAGTCAAAAATCGGGCAAATTTTTGATCAAAAAATTCATCCGTCACAGATATGAATAACAACCCTGCAATTATTATATTTTTTCCCTTCTATATTAGAATTGCGTTAACTAATTGTTGCTAGGTATCTATGAAATGCAATAAAAGTAACATCCATGAAATTGAGCAAATTGTTATGAAATAAAGTTCATTAAAAAACAATATTAGTGAAAGTATGATGAACATATTATTATTTACCTTAAAAGCATTCTTAAAATAGGTAAATTTATCTTTCAAACTGCCCAAATACCAGTACCTACAATTGAAAAGAGACAGGCATAAGAAAATTAAATCAAATTTTCATTTAAATTTTTCTTTAAAGAATTAATTTAAAAATTCATATCATAACTTGATGAGACAAAGCAATTCATTAAACATTGAGACATTTCGAAGAACTCTTAAAAAATTGTTATATTCAAATATGGTATACTACAAGTAACATATAAAAAGTAAACATAAATTGCTTCCTTTTTTCTTCTTCACTATTTAGTTTTTACTAATGCTTTATTAGCTTGTTTCATTTTTTAAATTTGTATAGGAAAAAAAAAAGATTTAGAACACAAAGAAAAGTTACTTTTCTACAAGAGGCTCAACATCTGAAAAAGCTCCTTGCTCAAACTGACATAAGGCAAACACAGGCTTTTCTTCACCTTCATACTATAAAGAATTAAGCAGCATTTTAGTGAATTTGATAAGATAAGCTTTTGTTAGAACAAAAACAATACATAGTTGTTTCAGAGTTAGTCTTAAAATTTTCAAATACAGTAAAAGCTCGGTACAATATTTTTTGGACCAAATAAATATATTGTTATAAGTAGAGGGATATATTGTTATATCGAGGGCCTACATACTTTGGGGACTCCATAAGATTTTTTAAAAAATTTTTTAACGTTATACAGGGGTAGCAGCAAAGTTTTTTAAAATTAAAGGGTAATTTTAGGACCTTTTTTCAAAAAATTGTAGGTAAATTTTATGGGTAATATATGATTTTGCTAGGATAAAAACAGATCACAAGGTAGTTTATTACATAACAGAAGATTATTACAATTCATCCACACATATCATAAATAATTGCAAGCCATAAAATAAAGCTCTGAAATTTATTAAGTCAAGAATGAAATCTCTAAAGAGTATAAATGAAATTTCAACTTTACATATTACCTATCAGAAATTAAGTGCATAATTCAGGAACAGGCAAAAGTGAGAATAAATCAAGAAAAAAAATAAATTAACACCAACTCGGATTTTTATTTATTTTTTACCTTCTTATTTAAAACTTATTATTACCCTTTACCTTACTTTATTAAGAAAAACTATTGTGTGATATTATTAGATTTCAAATCAGCAATTTATATTAGAAGTTAGAGAAAAACAAATTAATCATCATAATTTTTCTAATATATTCTTGATATGATTTGTGAGATTCTTTTACTGCCCTCAATAGTGTTGTGGTGATCTTCAACACTCCTCCATAATTTCGAATGGTATCTTTGATTAGTCTAAGAGACATAATAGTATTCTCATGGTGACTCACATTAAGCATTGCTTTATTTATCGAAAAACCTCTCTCAGGATCAGAATTCCCATGTGGCAAAATTAAAACAGTTTTAATTAATGTAGTTAAATTCTTATATTTTAGATTATTGCTTTTTTATTTATATTTAGCCTATAACTCTAATTTTTTAGGAACACCAACAAAATTTTATCAGATTTTTAGGGTTTGCACATAGTTTCAGGAATTTTATGATTTTTAGGGGGAATGCGACCCCTGGTTATATGTATTAATAATGCATATTATTATATAAAAAATTAATTTCCAGAGTGACAATTATGATTAAATATTAAAAGCAATTGAAATAAAATAAGGTCACAAAAACATATCTTAAAACCGTTTTTATTGAAAATAATCCGATATTTTTGCTAATTTATTCATTTTTTCGACAAAGTATTTATCGAGTTCAAAGTACAAAAATGATTTTCGTTTGTGAATCGTGCTCACCCACTCTCTACGGAAAAAATTCTCGTTCAGGTGTATATGTGATGTGTGTGGTCATTTGTGACTCAGATAGGAATGTTACATCTGTGACTTCTGTTCTAAGAACGGAAACTCTTAGGATGATCAGAAGTGAGTCTTTTCTTGTCAGAAAATAATGGAAAAAGTGGCAAAATATGATAAAAAAAGATTTTTTACATTATTTGAAAACTAATAATAAATGGAGAAAATGAGGTTGAAACTTGAAAAAAAAAAAACTGTTTTACAGAGGTTTATTGCTTCAGAGAGTATCTTAATATTGAGAGTAAGACAACATTAATTCATATGAAAGTTTGTCGGGACCACGGAACATTAATCGTAATAGAGGGAGTTATTGTTGTATCGGATATCGTAGTAGCGAGAGTTCACGGTAGAACTTCAAAAATAATGAATTTGCTATACAACATAAATATGACAAAGTAGTTATAACATAGAAATATGTGAAAAAGTCACATAACACTGTTAAATTAAAGAAGTCCAGAAACCACAATAAATTTAGTTTTTACCAGAGTTGATAGTTAAAATGTTTAGCGGAGAGTTTTATTCTCAATTAATTAAAATTTCAACCAAATCTCAGGGAAATACTAATTACATATTTCTACTTTTTTACGCACCATTAGACTATTTAAAGTTTTATTACATAACAGTTAAAAAAATATTAAAAATTGTATAAATCATTATAAGAAGAGCTCTATAAATATCTTAAGGGAAAAGAATTGTTTAGTAAATATTCATAAACTATTACAATAAGTTCATTCGCATATTTTTTTTTTATCCAACTGACGGTTCTGCACGTAAAAAGTCGTACTTTAACCTGCAGTCTTCTCCGCATAGCAAAATCGGTTATTTCATGTACTTAGATAAAGAAATAGTGTATCGGGGAGAAACATTCTACCAATTTTGCTAAACCGCCAGTGGGATAATCAACTTAGTAACTAGGCTAAGTAAATTTGGTTTCGGAATTTATAGATTAAAAGCCGATTTATTAATTAATACTGATTTTTCAATAACTTTCTATATTCTTCTACAATAGTTCAGGCTTAAAAACAATCAAGTGCAAACAAATAAGTTTGTGATAAATAATGATTGTCACAATATTCATTCAATTAATACTTTTATTAACTAATTATAAATCTTTGCTTAAATAATTTTCATAAGATCAAATATATATTTTTCTGTTCTTTTAACTTGCAGTCTAGGATTTAAGAAACCATCCGCGACTGCATATAGTTATCGAATTACATAATAATGCTTACAAAACATAAAAAGTTTTTAAAAAATAAAATCACTGGACAGAAATTTAATGTATGCCTCTATGATATATGTTGTATAATTATTAAAAAAGGGTTATAGTTTTCTAGTCTTACAGAAATCCAAGACTTGAAGACATATTTCAATAAATAAAGAGAACATCCACTTTTGAAAAAAAAAACAACAACTATATAACGTTGTTGTTTTGAACATTGAATTTGATCGGACCACTAAAAATAGCGCATCTTTCACTGACATAATTCTAACAAATCAAGTATGAGAGAAATAATTTCTGTACTTTTGCAAGGATGGAGAAGAAAATCATCTGTAAGAAACAATATCTACTATTCTTTCATCAGTATCTTTAAGTGTGAACAGAAAGACGTACATTTGTTATGATTTTTAGACATCATTTTTATTAATTCTTATTAACATGACATTATTAACAAATAATAAGTTTTAATTTCCTCCTTTCACATGATTTAAGAAAGTAAGCAAAGTGAAGCAACATCGTTTCAAGAGTTGGATATGCTGATATGGCATTCACTTAGATGCAAACAGGCTGTCTCTATAAAGATAATGGTTTTTTCTTAACTTGCAAGAGAGTCTGACACATTTCTCTGACTCCCCAACCCTGGTTTTAATATTAATGAATAATAATTTAATTATTCTTTAGTATAATAAGGGTAGGGTTTATATGTCTTAAAAAATTTTTTAGAATTTGTTTTTTGTTAGTAAAATTAAATAACAGTAGGTTTTCAACTTTCTCAATGGAAAAATTAATTATATTATTTTAAATTGCTCACATCTATAATTTTTAATTAAATCTCTGAATTATATACATATTGAAAAGGCTTTGATTAAAATAAAATTGTTTTTAAAAAATGAATTGTTCGAAATTTTAATGTCACAAGTCCCATAAATTAGCTTGAAAAAAAAGCTGTAAAATTTCTTATGCTAGTTATTTAGTTCATTCAAGTTAATATTTGGTTGAAATATAGGGTGCTGCAAATCGACTATTTTAAGGTCCCTAAATGTAAAAGTATTTACATAAGTTTTTGCAAGTTTCATTTTTTAAAAATAATTTTGAAAACAATAATAATACTCATTTACCTGAATTTTTAATACATCTAGAGCAACAGTGTTTTCTCGTATGACCGCCATTGTAGCCTCAGCCATTAACCTATAATAAAGTAAAAACATTTCAGTTGTACACACACTGAATCAACATTCAACTATAGTTTGTCTAAAGTAGGAACTCCCCTAGCCATTCGCCTGGACCCGTGGTGGTTATGGCAATGGGTTATAACTATCACAAGTAGGTGTGTGGTGTGGGTGAAAAAAAAGTTAAACCCTTTCTCCGTTCTATTGCGCTTACCTTAGAGGGAAGAGAAGCTACCCTCAGACTTTGTGGCAGGGGGAGTCTGATCATAGACAAACTATAATATAGTTTAACTTCACAAAGCAAGAATGAAAAGTAAATGTTACTTATTGGTCATAGGGGTATCATCGAATTTGTCAACACGTAGGAATGACAGATTCTGGTTTATACACGTCTCTGGCTACTGATTGTACATATAAGTGTATAAAATACAACAATATCATGATCATTTATTGTAGCAATGCATACTGAACATGAAATCATTATTGATAGAACTGTAGTGTCTCAGGGAAGGCTACCCAATTTTTCAATCCCAGCAATTGCTGGTCAACACAAATTCTTCTCCCGGTTCACACTGACCACAGTGCTGAAAACAACAGCCTAAGTGGTAAACAATTAACGAGTTAGAATCCATTAGGAGGTTTTGTGGTTTTCCTCTCCATGCGACGTAAATACAAATCCATGGAAAAGTAATCCACAAAAGCTAGAGTGTACCAATGCTAGATTCTTGAGTTCTCTTTTTCTTTTGGGTTAGGTTCAAAACAAAATGGCAATGGAGTCGAACACTGATAGATTTCAACCTAAAAATGTTCACACTGGTTCGAATGAATCAAATCATTATTGATAACTATAACTACAGAATAATTACTGAATTTGTAAGTTTGAAAGATAAGAAGGTTAAGTTAGATAGATATACAGTAAACTATTGAAACTTTTTGACAATACATTGCAATGTTAAAAGTCAACCCTTAGATTAGTTGTGAAAGCAGCATATGGTCTCTCTAAATACCAATTAAAGTGTAGATTTGCAGTTAAAACTTGCAGAGTTTCCTCCATTTTTTAAAAGCTTAAATTGGATCCAACTCATTCTAAATGTTTAGGTTCCATTCTACAATGTTTAACAATGTTATATTCTACAATAATTCAACAATTGTTTCTACAATGACACAATTATTTATGACTGCTAGGTCAGCCCATGTTCTCTATTTTAATTCTGAAAAGAGCATAAAAAGGAAGAAAAGCCACTGTTTTGTGATCGAATTTTTTAATGTTTAAAAAGTTACTGCATTATCCAGGGATGATTGTGAGCTCGACTCGAAAATCCTGAAAATTTCTTGAGTAAAATCCTTAATGACACATTTAAAATAAATTATGTCTTTATAAATTTAAATCATTGATATTTTCAAAACATAAAATCTAAACAAATTATATACAGCATAATTTATATGAATAATTATGTATAAGTTTACTTTTATCTCTAATCACATTTGTTATTCTACCAGAAAAAAATATTAACAAATGAGAGACATGCCAAGTATAAATTCTAGTTCTAATATTTATAAATAAAATATACAAGATTTTTTATACATAAATGTGTTCGATGATTTCTCGAAACTTTTGGATTTTGGATTTCCGGAAACTTCTGGATCACGGCTAGTAAAAAATCCAGAGCACAATCATCTATGATTATCTGGGCTTATGCAACAAGTGAGAATTATTTATTAAGGTTTATACTTGTCATCAAGGTGGAAAAAATTTTCCAAATAAGGGACATTTAAGAAAGTTCAATAACTTTTAAAAATATTTGACCATTCTAAAGCTCAGATAATTCTTTACAGCAAAGATGAAATATACAGTTAAACAATCATAGCTGTGCCTCTAGAGTAATTTTCTCTTCAATTTTTATTACTTTCAATGATGAAAGAGATTTGAAAAAAATAGGGGTTGTAAAAGAGAAAGACAATGGAACTTTCTCACAAACCTTACTTTTTTTATTGAGTTTGAAATTTTTTTTTTACTTGCAGTTTGATTTTTTTTAAATGTTATTTGAATTTCATTATTAATATTTTGTTTCCAATTTAAGTAAAAGATTCTCTGCTGATCGTTTAGTTCATTTTTTACAGCAGTCAAGAGATACAAACTTGCTCAAATTATTTATCAGCTGGTTCAGTTCTTTAAATATTAAAATATAATTTTCTTCTTAGTTAATTTTCAAAAACTTCAACCATAAATAGCTTTTTAGCAAAAAAAAAAAATTGTCAGGATTTCATCAATTAAAAAATCAAGTAAAAATTAAGGTGATTTTTTAATAGGATAATAATAATATATAATTTATATGAAATACACTTTTTTCTAAATATTCTGTTCATGCTATAATTACAGATAACGTTATGCATATTTGGATCAACATATTATCATATTTCCTGTGACAGGATCCTGGCAACACGGCGATATTGCCGCAGAACATTACCGAGTTCTTGTAGAAAGATTTTTCCTTTGGGAAATAAAACACTTAGTTTTCCTTTTCTGCAGAAATTTTCGAAAGATTTTTTCTTTTATTCAGAATTATATTTAAGACATGCTTTTCTCGTGCATCGGAGTGGGAAAAAAATGCTTGTGATTTTTTTTTGTTCTCATTTGAGAATAATGAAAAATAAAGACTAATGAAGTAAAAAGTTTTGGTTTGCTTTTCTGCAGAAATTTCCATTCTATTTTTAATGCAATTATTACTATTGATTTCCACATAGCTTTTAAAATTGAATATTTTTAATACTGTATTATTTATTATAACTGAATCTCATAATGAAAACACAGATTTAGTAACTCCTTTTTGGAAGAGTCCAATTTGCAAGATTTTGTCGTCAATCCTTTTTTTCGGTAGTTAATGCTATGGATTTCACACTTTTTTTTCATGGGACGATGATTTATGAAACACAGAAAAATTAGTGTCTTTTCCTTTTACAAAATGCAAGAATAATAATATTAGAATAAAAAACTATTACATATTTAATTAAAAAAGTTTTCTTTCTTTTTTTTTTTTACTTGTGTTGCTTTGAATTAGTAACATGTACATTTGTTATTTTTAAAAGTATCTTGTAGAAAGATATTAGTATTAGAGAGGTATCTAATCAAAGAATGACTCTAATTTACAAATTCAGAAAAAGAAAAAAAAAGTAAGTAACATTTAAATATGTGTGCTAGCATTTCATCAAGGAGACACGCTGCCTGCCAACACACACAGTAGCCTTTCTGTTGTAACTGGTGAAACCAAAAACTGACAGTGCTCCCGAGGTCCCATGATGGAAAATCACATAAGAAAAAACAAATTAGAAAAATTGAAATGTAAATGCAAAGAAAAATGAATGACAAATAATCACAAAATAAGTCTAAATAATAACTAAAAGTACACAAACTAATACATGATAAAGAGATGCCCACAAATAAGAAAAATAAATGAAGATAAAGTTACAGTTAGAACAACCACATCAAAATAAAATATAAATCACCAAATCATTAAGAAAACATTATAAATAAATCAAGTGCTGATCCCTTTTTTGAAAAACTTGAAAGAATAAAACAGAAAAACATTCAATGAGTAAAAATTTTTAAAAGGTGCGACCATCTATATGATTCAGGAACAATTAGAGAGGTATGTCACAGAAAGCCCGAAAAAATTCTGCCATGGGGATCATATTATCTATCAAAAGATCCACACAGGACAGCGGTAAGAAAATTATGGTAGTTTACGAAACTTTTTTTTAAGTGAGTTTGAAAATAAATTGATGACTAGTGGAATTTATTTTTTTCTAGCTATTGAGCACTTTAATATCTTTTTTTTGTTGATAATATATGAAGGAAAAATTTTAAAACACACCTTTCATTGAAACTTACTGTGCACTAGAAGATGATTTAGACCCAAATAGATATTTAGCAACAGTGTTTGTTTTTCCTAGTGGAACTACTCCTAAAGGATACTGTTCTTCCTGGAAAGATCAACATTAAACATCCTAAGAAAAGTAACAAAAACTAATGAATTTAGCATTTATAAACAGTGCACAGAAGCAACAAGAAATGAATTAGTTTAAACTTGCAGCTGTTTGTTGGAAAAGTTCAATTTAGTAACAAAACAACAGATCCGAATCATAATCTTAAACTAAGAGACATTTTAAAAATATTAAGTATGTTATTTGGTTATAGATAATATTTCTCATTCAAATTTATGAAGGAAATTCTTAAATACAAATTAGCCATTAATTATGGCCATTAACCATTAACATTAGGCCTGTTAAGTATAGTTAATAAGGGAATTCAATTTTAGGAATTTAAATACTCCCATCTGGTGGCTTTAAGGGTTCAACTCAAACTCATTAGCTTTTAAGGGATAAAACAGATGATTATGCATTCAACAAATATATATGTGACATATGAGAACTATTAAGTTTGAAAAATAATAAAATATTGTAAAATTAAACATGTATAGAAAATTCAAGAAACACTTCTATAATTAAATATTAAAAAAATAATAAAAAAACAATGAACATTTTTAATTAACATATTTTAGAAACAGTGTAGCAATAACTAATAGCCAATAGTCTTAACTAAATAATTAAATTTTAAAAAAATCTTTAGTTTGAGATTGTTTACATTGATTTAATTAAAAATATTTTTATTGGCATTCCCTAAAGTAAAATATAAAAATTTTAAAATGGAATAATATAATTTTAGTTACAAAACAAAAAATGCATATAAAAATAAATAATCACCTCTATTTATTAATTACTAAAAAAATGTGAAAAGAATAATGACTCCTTTTATGTAACACAATTAAAAACCATGTAGTAAACTTTATTTAACTAAGTTAATTATTTAAAACGTAATATATTCAATTTTGATAGTTTATATTAAAAACAAATCAATTTTGATTCCATATTATATAATTAATAAAATATTTCACTAGCGTTCATAAAAAAAAAAACATATAAAAATTTTAAAACTTACTTCCTCATTCGAACGACTCATGAGCCCTGTTACAACCTAATTAAATTTAAATCAGCATTATTATTAAAAGAAAAATAATATAAAGAACACATAGCTAAAACCAACAAGGACATAAAAAAACTAAAATGAAAACATTTTTTTTTATCATTACAAGATTATTAAATAAATAATAATAATAAAAAAGATTTCTGACACATTTTGTGACTTTCCAGCCTTTTTTTAGTGATTCAATGGGAAATAAAGAACAGCAGTGGAATTTCAGTATAAAAAAGCTTGGAACGTTAAAATAATAAAATTCCATACATATATCAAAACAAAATAATTGAAAAAGATTATGTAAAGGTTTTTGTAAAAAGTTTTATTTTATTTAAGTGTGATATATAATTATTAAAATATAAATATTTTCTAACATTTTAAAGAAATTTCAATAAACTTTTTTTAAAGTAAAAATGTGAAGCATTTCCACAGCAACCCGTACAGGATCAGGGGATCATGGAAATCAAGGCTAGGGTCATGCTGGTGACAGAGAGGTCAGCAACGTGCACCAATCACTTTTATTTCCCAGACAAGTTGGTACAGACCAATCTGAAGCTGGGCAGGCCTCAAGCTGCCACAGAGGGTCAAACCTCGGCAAATGCTTTAACCACTCAAGTTCAGCTCAATGCCTTAACCACTTAGCCATCGTAGATCAATCAACTTTTTTCAAACAATTTCTTACAAAAAACTTTGATAAAAAAAACTGAATAAGACCAAATTTCAATAAATAAAAAAACTTTTATAACTGATACAGATTTAGAAACAATCTAAAATGAAAAGAATAATATTAAAATGAAAAGAATAATATTAAAATGAATACACCTCATGGAGTGTACCATCACCTCCTGCAACTATAACTGCATCTGTGTTGGACATTATTTCCATCAACTTTCCAGCCTGCTTTGAAAACTCTGTCTAAAACAAAATAGAAACTAAAAATTTCAAACTCACAAGTAGAAACACATTTAATATAAAATTCATTAAATATAATTTAACTTTTTTTAGAGTTGCTTTTAAAGCAGAGAATGGTAGATGGAATGGGGCACCCTAAAATTTGTGAAACCTCATTTCTTATTAATGAAATTTGATTCTTTCTTAGTCTAGCACATATTAGGGTGGCCCAATAAGAAGTGATTTTTTTGGGCTTTCTGTGACATACATCTCTAGTACTAATAATATTTTTCTGCAAGATGCTTTTAATAATAACAAATATACATGTTACTAATTTAAAGTCACCGAAGCGTCGACTTAAAAAAAAAATCTGATAAAATAATATTTTTATTTAAGAATGTAATATTTCTTGATTCTAATATTAAAGGTGATATTTTCGCATTTTGTAGGAGGAAAAAAGCACTAATTATATATTTTTTGCATTATGTAAATCACATTTAAAAAAAATTACAAAAAATAACAGCAGTAACTACCATAAAAAAGATTGACGGCGAAATTACACGAATCGGTCTCTGTAAAAAGGGGGTACTGCATGCGTGTTTTTATTTCGAGATTCAGTTGTTCTAAGAAATAATAACGTATCAAAAATACATTACTTAAAAAAATGTGGAAATTAAAAGTAATAACTGCAATAAAAAAAATGGAACGAAAATTTCTAATAAAAGAGAAAATCAAATTTTTTACTTCATTATTCTTTATTTTTCATTATTCTCAAATGAGAACAGAAAAACCACAAAGAATTTTTTCCCACTCAGTTGTGCGAGAAGGGCATTTTTTGAATGTAATTTTGTGAAGAAAAGATTAAATCTTTTGCAAAAAATTTCTGCATAAAAGAAAACTAAAATTTTTTACTTTCCAAAGGAAAAATCTTTCAACAAGAACTTAATATCATTCTGTGACAATGTCACCGTGTCACCACGATTTTGCCACGGGACGTGTTATCAAGGAAGGTATGACTTTGAACACTGCACATAATTAATTAACCAATAAACAAGAGATCATTTAAAGAGAATGTAAATTCAACCTAAGAAGGATGTTCACATAAAATAAAAGTAGTAATATTTTTTTAGGTAGAAAATGATTGATAGCACTATTCAATTACTCATATCAGACAACATGCAGGAGTGGTGTCACAAATTAATTGAATATTTTCATCAACAGCAGTAATGAATTTATGGGAGATATTAATATTTTCTTGAATTTGATTGCAACAAATCCAATATTGATGCACATTTTTCAGGAAAACTTTTACATTTACAAACTATTTGTTTACAACTGTTTATCCTAGACACCATTTGGCATAAATATAAGTTATATGCTAAATTGCTTATTTTCCACCTCTAAAAATCATACTATTACTTATTTTCTAGTACATTTGCCTTATTCATCTTAGCACTTAACATTCACTTTAACTACTTTCACACCAATCTTTAATTAAGTTATAATCACTCTGCAGTGCAATCCTTTATCTGATTTTATAACCCTGAATAGTGGCACTGCAATTGGCATTGCACTACTTCTTACACAATTACCTAAGTTCATGCTTTATTTGGTAAACCCTAACAGAATTTCACTAACCAACTCATAATTTTCCACTTTAATATTATTTTTTTAGGAATGTAGGGGCAACACATAACAAGTCATGGATGAACCACATTAAAAAGAGCTCTGATATTATTTTTTCTCTACTTAGAATCGCTATATCTTTGCCAGCACAGCAATAAATTAGAAGATTTAAATGGCTATGCAACAATAGATTTGTAAATTACACAGATAAATCACAAATAACTCACTGTTCACTTGCAGAAATGAATGAGTTAAACTTAGCAAAATGTTTCATAAAAAGCAACACTGCAAATAGTTTAATAGAAATTTAGTTTGGCTTCTATAATTGAAAATATTAAAAAAAATTATCACTTAAAAGGATACTGAACTAGGAAATTAATATATAGAAGGCAAGGAAAAAGGCACAACTTACCTCTTCAGAATAAATTAAGAAAAACTTTAATAAATTAAATAAGATATAAATTTTTTTTTAATGAATGATGTCTATTTAAGGAATAACAAAACATTTTTATAATTTCTGTTATTACTTTTTTTTAAAGCAATATTTCAAAATCATGAGTATTTTTTTCTATGTTCTTTTTTGTTGCATTTTTTTTTAAAACTACAATCATGAAAAGTTCAGAATTATAAATTTAAGACATGACAACAGTATTAGAAATAAAAACTGGCTTAATACTAAACTACTGGAAAACTTAAACAATAGAGCTGTACGCTTACGTGTCAAATACTATAAATAAAACTTATTATGTAATTAAATGGTATGTTAAAAATTTAAATTACCTGAAATACACTAACTTTAAAACCTGCTAAATGAAGCAAAGGGGCCACAAATTTTTCAAATTGAATGTTTGCTTTCCTGTAGGAAGAAAACACAATATAAGAAGATATTACTTGTCTATCAAATATATCTAACAAACATATGTCTATCAATTATATAAAATTTTCAAAATGGTCTGGCAATTTTATACAAAAATGTAACTGAATAGCACATCAAATTAGTGAGATTTGTCACTAGTTTGTAGAAGCAAAATTTAGGACAAACAGCATGAGAGATATCTACTTTCCGGAAAAAAAATGTTTAAATTTCTGCAAAATCTTTATTAATTACATACATTGTATTTATTCATTCATTCAATTTAAGATTTTAAAGATGGGTGAATATGAATTGCGATATAGAAATTTTAAGACAAACTGTGATATATAATTTTTAAATCATCTGAATATGAATTGCAATGTGAAACTTTTAAATCAGGTATGTTTCATATTAAAGGAAACTTGATATTAAAATCATTCGAATGTGAATTAAGACAATGGATTTTAAAAATGCACGCATACAAATTGCGATGTTCCATTTTTTAAATCATGCGAGCACGAATTTTTCTTTTTTTTAATTTTAAAATGACCTGAATACAAATCACAATATTGGATTTCAAAGATGTGTAAACACTAAAAGAAGACTTTTGATTTTTAAGTAACACCAATTTGAATTACGAGGAGTTTCATTTGGGATATTTGATTTTTAAATAGTTTAGACAAGCTTGTTAATTTTTAAAATGAATCAACAAAATGTAAGAATGTCCATGGGGGTATTTACATACGTCTATTTAGTTTTGATTGCAGGTCAGTATTTGTATCAAACTATTTAACAAAGAATTTTATTAAGACACTGAATTATTTATTTGTTGAGAACAGAAGAAAACAGAGCAGATATTAAATAAAAAAATTAGCAAAATATAATAAAACTCAGACAATTTCAAGTAAATAAAATGTAAAAATGGTGTATTAATAAAAAAAAAATCAGGTTTTTCTTCTGAAATAAAATCTGACAAGTAGTTATTGTGTGATGAAAAAAAACAAACAAAAAAACAATGACAGTTTAATTTCTACAAAGAAATAAGAAGGAGAATTGTTAAATACTTATAATTAGCTTCTGGATTCAAAATCACAGTCACATGTTTTGGTTTTGACATCTGTTGTAAAGGTTTCTCCCCATATTCCTAAAAAAAGTTTGGAAAAAAAAATCAATAAATGAAACACACAGTATGCTACATGAGAGTTAAAAAAATCCTAACTCATTGTAAAAAAAAAAAAATGCTTATTCAGAAACAGTTGTCAACTGCATACATTTAAAACAGGGTGTGTAGTCAAATATTTCAATAAAAAAATAAGCACCTTTTAAGTACATTTTAAGCACATTACAAAAGCACATACATTAACAAAATGCAAAATAATTTTCCAAGACTTCACATTATCGTGATAAAAGAACTAGTTTCTTACAAACAACTCTTTTCTTGATTATATTAGCCACCATAAAAACATAGAGAGATTTTTCGGTTACATTTCAGAGGGTGGAAAAGGAAGTCTGAAATCGAGAATATCTTGCAAAATGCAGCAGAGTTGAACAAGAATCTCACCTAATGCAGCTCAGTAGACGCACATGCGGATAGGCAAGTATTACATCAAACATGTAACATGATTGGCCCGTTTATACGCCGAAATGGATTGTGGTTGAATAAATTTTGAAAACGCTGAATAGAATGATTGGAAACCATGCTCTTGCATAATATGTCACGAAAATCGACATGGTGAAGAAAAAAATCTCGTTTTCGAAAAGGGAAATAAAGTACTTTTTAAAAATATCCTATGAGGGCTAATAAAACACTAAAATCGAAAACAGCACATTTAAGCACTTTTTAAAAACGTTACGCACCATGTGAAAGCATATTTTAGGCTATACAAATGAATCAATAAAATTTTACATAAGTACATGTCAATCTAATGATTAGATGAAAAGTTGAAAATATTCTGTTTTTTCCTTTCATTTTTTGCACTGTGCAATGATTATTAATTAATAAAAGTTATATACAGTTATATCTACTGTATATCTCGGTGCAAAAATTTCCCTAGAAATAAAAAGTCATGGTGCTTCCTCTCGGAAAAAGGCACTTTGAGTTTCAAAAGGGACTTATGATCGTTAAAATTTATCAAAAAGTGTCATATTATATAATAACTGAATTTGTCTTTCAATATTATGTGCATATTTCACAAAGTAATCACTCACTCATTATAAAAATGACCGAAAAATTTAAATCTTTTGAAAAATAATTAAAGGCTAGCTAAAAGACAATTTGCTTATGAATCTTTTTTCAAAAAGAGTAAATAGAAAAAGAAAAAAAAATATTAATTGATAAATAACTTAAACTTTTATGTTACTTATCAATTTTTTAACAATGATAAATAAAAAACTTTTTTTCTTCATTTTATTTTCAAACTCAGTACATGTAGTTTAAGTTGGTAACTTTATCTAATTATGTGATTTGTTTATTTTTATCAATCAGTTAATGTTATTAAAATCATTGTATCCTAAAGTGATCACATTACAGACTACAACAGTGTGAAATGAAAGAAAAATGTATAAAACATGAATCTAATTGAAAAAAAAATATTTACATACTTTTGCTTCTTCACAATAAGCTCTCATCATCTGAAATGTTCTGAAAAAAAAAGGAAAAAAAAAATGAAATGTAAAAAAAGTATGAAGATCAAAATCACAGTTTTCATATGAGTTTTTCGTCATAATTTTTTTAAATTATAGGTATTTATAAAGTATAAAACACATAAATACTTATGGCTCTCATTTTTTAAATATTCAAAAACAGTATTATACATTATTTTGAGCTTTTACAGATTAGTCATTATAAAGCATAAATAATAAAGATTTTAAAGAAAGTAAAATGAAAATATTTAAAACAATACAGTGAAACCTGCTTAGTTGACCACCCTTGTAAGTTGGACACCAGCATAAGTTGACCTCAATTATCAAGAACGGAATTTTTCCTTATAATATAAAGAAGCAAAACCTTTGTAACTTGACCACCTGTCTATCTTGTATGTTGACCGCTGAAAAAAGTCCATTTTGTCTAGGAGCATTATGAAATTCTATTCTTAAACCCTCATTAGTTGACCAGAAAAAAAAAATTCAGAAAATTTTCTGTCATTTTGCAATGTATGTTAAAATGTCACTTGTTTGGTGAAATAGTGTAAAAAGCTAATCTAAACCCTTTTGTCAGTTGACCATCTAGAGAAACTGTAAGGGGTCAGCTTTTGACCATTTCTTTGATTCATTCATTGAAAACAGGTGTGTTAGTTGAAAAGTTGCTCTTCCAGTTGCAATAGTGAGCATTTGAATAAATGAATGCTCTGAAATATGTTTTGATCTTTTATTCGTGTTCTGATATTTTAAGAAATTAATTTTATTAAACACTTCACATGCAGAACTAACGAAATATTTTTTAAAAAAAAGTTAGTTAAATATTAGAATTATGTATATGTAACAAATTGAAGTTCATTCAGGTTTAAACACATTTCTTAAGATATTCATTTGGCTATTTGCTAAATAAAATTTTTAAGTCAAGTAAAAATTTTTTTTAAATGTATAGCAACATGATATAGGAAACGAAAAAGTAAACAATGACCCACCCCCTCTATAAGTTGCCCACTAAAACAATGCACCACAAGTGGTCAACTTACACAAGTTTTACTGTACTATGAAAAAAATTCTTTACTTTTAAAAAATAGAAGTGCTTCCATATTGGACAATTATTATGTTGTTGATTAATACATTTATCAAATAAGGATTAAGTGAGAAGGAGCAACAGTTAATGGTCTAACAACTGACTAATAATAAACTTATTATTATTGTTATTTTTTGTTGTTGTCAGAAGAGCAGATTATGTTCTCCAAAACACATGCATTCAATTTCTCGCATACACAGGGAGGCTTTAATCATCATTTTATGTTAGTTTTACCACTTCCTTGATAATCCAAGTTTACTCGGTTATGTTATAATTATTATAATTATAGGTTAATATTGCAAATATTTACTATCCCGAGAAAACTGGGGCGTAGCAAAATTCGTCGATGCGTGTTATAATTTATCACGTTTTTACACGACCGTTAATTAAATAAAAATCTGTTGCGATTGGAAGTCTGCCATGTATTATTTGGGAGTTTTGCTGTTTGATTGTGGCACTACACACTTGTTTTGTGCGATTGTATATACGCTATACGAAATTTTAGAAAGGATGAAGGTCATTCGTGTTATTTTGTACCTATTACTTTCTTTTTAATTGAAGGTTGATAATATTTAGAAGTAATTCAGTTTCATCATTATGATTATTTCAAATGTCAAGAACTTTTTTCTTAGATTTTGAAATAAATCTTGCAAGTATATAGTAACACATTGAAATAGTAACATTATATTGACAAGAAATATACACTAAAAAAGGCTTTTAAACTGCAAAGAACAAAAATCTTCCAAATTTTGGCCTGATTTATTATAAAGCCTGGGAGGAACTCTAAATTTTACAAATATTTTCCCTTGAGAATTGTCTACTTCAATTATGAGCAAATAAAAATGGAAAAATATGTATGCACAAATATATTATAATTTACTTATGTCATAAAAAGTTTAAAAGTATTTTTTTAAATGAACAACCCGTAATTTTTAAAACTAATGGGGCGCCCAACAGTTCTGTGCCTAGGGGCCAATGATTTCTAAATTTATTAGTGATTTATTACCAAACGGAATTTTCATTTGCCTTGCTTGGTTAAAGAAATAATTTACTTAAAAAAAACGAGCAGAAAAATACGATTTAATGTATAAGCATTTTTTAAGTGAATATTGAATACTTTCCCATTTAGGTAAAAAGTATTCTCAAAATTCTCACTTGTAACGATCAAAACCATAAGAAGAGCCATATGCCAATACTCCAAAGAAAAATGTTGATTTTTTCCAGTGACGGCGAAGAGTTTTAGCAAATTCAATAAGTTTAGCCATATTTATAATAAGAATGTAGGAAGGCCGGCTTTTGTGTTTTTATTTATGCTAAGGATGGCGATGGCTATTTAAAATAATGCTTGTTTTAATAAACAAGCTTACAGCTTTAACAATAGATTAAAAATGTTAGGCCTTGGGTTATAGGTGCTGTTCTCGCTGTGTGTAAAACATTCTCGTACTCTTGGCAGGTACTTTACGCAGCACAAGAGCAGCATAATGGGCTATTGCGACGGTCTGGGAAACATCCGGAGGAAGATCTGCAGAGATGCCATCAGAAGTTTGATCTTCTGTAATCTCATTTGTGAGACCATTTCTTCAATTTAGAAATTTATCTAAAGGAAATGGAATTTTTTTCCAGATCCCTGCACTCACGGTACTACTCTCAGCGACCCACTACTGATTTTACAAGCAAGTATATCTCATGTACTCGAGAGGTCCATGCGTAGTTGAGGATCGAACCCCGGCTCCCCGGACCGGAGCCCGATTCTCAAATCATTGAGCTACCACGGGCACGAATACCCAGAATAGATTTTGATATAATGATTGAATTTTCACGTTTTATAACTCAATCTTAATATACCAAACAATCGTATCGAAGGGAATTTTTATACACTATTTAGGGGGCACATTGCCTAATTAGAAAATATTCTAATGATTACAATATTAATATGATAATGCGGAAGTTTAAAGGCTGAAATAAAGAACTCGGTACATGTGAAATACTGCAGAAGATATAATGCAATAATATGATGGAGCGTTTTTTCAATCTGCGGCGTAAAAATATATCGGAAGCAGTAACCCGAAAGCCTTGAAAGAGCAATTTTACCACTAGCGCCACCACCCTTAGCTTTACACGATCACCCATCCATTAAGACTCCACGATTTATGACTAACGAGGAGAGATGGTGAAAATAAAATCAGCATTGTGCACCTACCGCCTTTATTTCCCTGACAAGCTGGTACCCGCTCTACAGCTGGGTGGATTCAAAACCTAGACCCACAGTTTTTTTCATCATATCTTTGGAATGAATTTAAGAACATTTTGTTCACAGAACTCGATGTATAGTGTACAAAATAAAAGACAGACCACCCTGAATAGATTTTGATCTAATGATTGAATTTTCACGTTTTATAACTCAATCTTAATTTACCAAACAATCGTACCAAAGTGAATTTTTATACACTATTTAGGGGGAAAATAAAAGGCCAAAATAGATTTTGTTAATTAACCGAAAGGAAGTTCTGGGTAAAGAAGTTTGTAGACTCGGTGGTCAGGGGTTCAGTCCAGGTCACGGATAAATTTTTAATATTTTTTTCTATATACTTTATTTTATTTTTTAAAATTTATTT